ACTGGTGGAATATTTGCACTACATAATTTCCAGCGTCACACAGTCCAAGCATTAAAAATATGTCTAACTTGTGGGCACGCTGTCTGATGGTCGCAGATATTTATGGCCGCTTCTGCCGGCGTCCCGCCAGTACCCCCGAGACGCGGGAAGGTGCGAGGGCCCGTTCATCGCTGCTCACAGCTTTAATTATTTTTATTTTTCAGGCAAAGGCTAGCGACCCACCAGTTGAGAATCACTGCTGTAAAGTATTGGTTGTGATGTTGCATTCAAGCCAGATCAAGACACTTACTCAAAGTTTTTAAAAGTCAAACATTTTAAGTTAAATATTCATCACGGATGAGGACCGCTGCGATGGGCTAAGGCACTTTTTTACCTGACGGGCATTATAATATCTGGCATAGATCTGAGAGGCATCGCGATGGCGGCAGAACAACCAGCACCTGCTCACAGCCTTCTTAGGTGTATATGTCTTATCAGCAGTAGCTGCTGGCCAGGCATCATCCGCTATGGTCTCGCTTCTCAGAGCTTCTCTTCTCATACCAACAAAAACCGACAGGATAAACCTGATTTTGGACCTGTCTCTGTTCAACAGGAGTATTATGAAGCAGCTTTTTTTCACATGCTGACACTCAGACATTCATTGGAGTGTATGTGTCCCAACAATTTGTTCACTTCCATTGACCTGAGAGATTTACCCGGGTGTGGTTATGAATTCAGTCACCATGAGAGAAAAGCTGTCGTCAGCCTGGCGTGATGTGCTAAAAACACATTGGGCAGTCCCGGGACTGTCAAGAATCTGCTATGTATGTATTATGTTTAGGTTGTTATAGCTAATTACCCTGTTCATGACAACTGTAAATGTCTATATAAGTCACCTGCTTGTCTCTCCGGATGCTTTCTGGTTTTGTTTTTCAGTGTATTGTGGTTTCTAGTGGAACTAGGGGACTTTAGTCTTGTTTCATGATCAGCTGAGGTGCATGTAAACAGAAAGTATCAAGTATAACGAAAGTAAGTTAAAAACTGCTACAATGAGACCTTGCTGCTGTCTCTGTCCAGAATTTAGTCCCTGCTGGTATGCAGCCTAATGCCCTATGCAAGACTGCAACAACTCCCACCAGAACACAGCTCTGCAGTGTAAAGTTCCCCTTTGATATTCTTCCAGGAGTTCGTTTTCTTTGCTGGAAAACAAGTTATTTCTCTAGTGGACAGATCCACTGGTGCGCTATTTACCTTTTATTTATTTGTTTCCCTTTGGATGGCACCATATAAATCTTACTTAAGCATGTGACAGAGGATTAATACACATAACACACAATTCTTCTTTTTCAGAATGTCATTGAGACACCCAAAAGACTCAATACCATCAAAGGAGAATCAAATCAATCAGCATTTTATCCAATGCTGCTAAGAGTGTTTTTCAAGCTGGAGGCACTGATAGCTTTTCTAGGGCTCATTTAATGGTCGGTAAGCCCTTGCAAACACAAACAGACAGTAATCATGTTTGCAGTCACTTAATTACTGCTTGTGTTGTCTGATCACTAAAGGCAGTAAAGTGGGAAAAGCCAGCAGCGCAGCAAGTAATCGTAGTAACGTGGATAAGTACAACAGATCCCGATGCCTTTTTTCAATTAAGACACCAGAGAACACTGCTCGAATGTCTACATGTGTAAAACAACCGTACCAGTGTTGATCTGATCAATCAACTGTGTTAAAATGTGTGTATAAAATGGCTGCTATGGATCACAATTCCGGATTTGTAAAGAATAATCTGCAAGAAGGGTAAAGCTTGTTTTAAAGCATGGGTAGGCAGTTTAATTTAGAAACATTTTTTCCATATTTGTTTAAATTCTCACACGACAGCAATCAATAAATTAAATCTCTCACAAAAAAAGAAAAACATATGGTATCTTCGCTGTCTATAGACTGAAATACCTGCGTGTCTACCTACCTACCTGCAAGTGCTCATTGACTCCATTGTACATGACCAGAGTCTTCCCCAAGGAAGCTGTGATTACTAAAAATACGTACCTTGTTTATGTTCTCCATGATAATGTTAGGTGTTTTTCTTACATGTGAAAAACACATGGGGACATAGGATACATTCAGTGATCAACGATGTGCTTCGCTCTTTTTCTCAATGCTCACTCATGGACTCGTCCTCCAGCAGCAGTCAGGCAGTATGCTTTCATGTGTTTTGGTGGATTGGCTTTAGAGCAGGGGTCTCAAACTCAAGGCCCGCGGGCCGAATCCGGCCCGCCACGTCATTTTATATGGCCCACGAATCTGCCAGCAAAAAAATTTTTTTTTAAAAATGAATTAAAAGTTAGACTTGATAATAAAAATATCCCCGTAGTCGAAATTATGAGATAGAAAGTCGAAATTATGATAGAAAGTCATAATTATGATAAAAAGTCATAACTATGATAGAAAGTCAAAATTATCATAGAAAGTCAGAATTCTGAGATACTTAAACACACAGTCACAGAAGCAGCTCTTTGGCTGGTTACTGTACACTTGAAATGGAAATGTATTGTGAGTACATTGAAGACTACTTTAAACGTGGCTTTACAACACATGAAATACTTCACGTGGGATTGTGCAAATGCACCCTTGAAAGGATTTTAAGCTTTGAACAAAGTTATTGTAGTAACTTGTTTGATATTTGTCTTTGATATTTTCTTTAATAGTTTGATCTTTGATAGAGTAATGTGGATTTCTTAACCCTAAATTAAAAGGATTTAAGTTATAATAACAGAAATGTGCTTAAATATATTTTTACATTTATATAACTGCATGTACAATATTTTTACACTTGAATAAACAATCAAATGCAGACAGTTATTTACCAATATGTTAGGAGTAGTTACATTTACACAGTCTTACATTTACAACCGGCCGTTTGAGGGCGACCGTGATGCTGATGTGGCCCAGAGTGAAGATGAGTTTGAGACCCCTGCTTTAGAGGGATGCCGGAAGGGAGAGGCTGGGGTTTTTGTCAGTTGGATACTTGTGTTTCTCCAAAATTGTCTAACCCAGCTTTAAGGCATTACAGCAAAAACGCTGACTACAGACTTTTGATAAAAACACCTGGCACACTCCATTTACAGCTCACACCATGTCTTCATGGGCTGTGTAGCGAAACACACAGCAGCTGCAACCTTTCATCAATGCCTACACTCTGTTCAGACACAGCCCACTCAGAGGTGTTAAACTTTGCCCTCGGCCCAAGTCACAATCTATGTAGTCAAACGGTCAAATCATAACAAATTGGGCTGGTGTAAGGCTTCACTGAACAGTCTATGAGACAAACTACTGAAAAACATCAGATTCATCATTCTCATCTATTTAATTTAAGTCCACATGTTCCTTCCAAATTTCATACCTCTAGGTCAAACGTACTGCGAGGGCTGCATTGGAGAAATCTTGTAGGGGGCGCTTTCGAGCCGAGCCGACTTGCCACTCTGAAGCATTAAAACCATAATATGTAACTACATTTTAGGTTTTAAATGTGTATGCCAAGTTTGCTTATGTTTCGAGCATTTTTAGCCTCTCAAAAGCACCTTCGTTTATCATGGCGAAGACTGCGTCGCCACGGCAACAGCATTCGACGAAACATCAAAAGCTTCATGAACTTCTTACATTTGTGTGGAACTAATTTGATTTTGATCTGATTTTCCTTACTAAGAGAAACAAGCCAAAGTATAAAGACTTTAACTTCCTGTTACCAGTAGGTGGCGCTATGACTATGATTCAAAATTGGCCTGCAGATGTCTTATTTATTTATTTATTGGTTTATTTGAACGGGACAGTGCACATTAATAAAAACATTTCTGCAAATGTGCCAGAGTTAGCCAAAAGGCTATTTTTCATCTGTAGTCCCAAAGGCAGATGTTTACAAGATAAACCTAAAAACAATGTAAGATTAAAGTTTAAAAGGTTATACAATATTGACACCTAATGCGTGGACAAACAATGAAAAAAAGTGAGAATAACTATGTTAAAATAGAAACATGGACTAAAAACAGTATTATGCTGTAGTTGTTTAGACACTAAAAAACATCCATGTCAGAGGCACAAAACAGGACTGGAGTCTCATCAAACATGTGAAATCTGGTAAAGATCTGATGATGTGGAGTCGAATTACATCAGTTTATTTTCACGGCGAAGGATCGAAATTTACCAAGCCGCCACGTCGCCGCCCTTCAACAACTTCCTATAATCTTCACAATGACGCATTATCAAGGTCTTAAGGCTTTTCTGAAAAAAATGGAGAGGGATCTGATTAATCTGTGAGCAGTAGGGTGTCAAAGTACACAACCTATTACTTCCTGTTGCCACTAGGTTGCGCTATTACTATGATTCTAAATTGTCATATAGATGTCTTCAGGGTCAGGATCTTATGACATGAGAAATTTGGAGCAGATTAGACAATGTACGGCCGAGTTACAACAACTTCCTGTTTCGTGGCGATCCTGAATTTTGTGCAAATTTTGAGGAATGGATGTGTAGCCCAAGCACCTCTTTTTCCCCTTGAAAGACGCAGAATAATAAGAATAAAAAACATTTGAAGAACAATAGGTCCTCCGCTCCGACTACGTCGGTGCTCGGGCCCTAATAATAATAAACATTTGAAGAACAATAGGTCCTCCGCTCCGACTACGTCGGTGCTCGGGCCCTAATGATAATAATTCCTATCGGGTCCTCGTGGCCCGACGTTGTCGGTGCTCGGGCCCTAATAAGAATAATAATAATAATAAACATTAGAAGAACAATATGTCTTTCGGGCTCGGGCCCTAATAATCCTTTGGATCTCAATAGGGCCTTCGCGCCCTGATGTCAGTTGCTCGGTCCCTAAAAATCAAAATGTTCAAGACAAAAACTCAGAACATGATTTGATATGCACAAGTATTGTTCCACAGACTGCTGACTGACGTTGCATGAAATTACCCTTTGACCTCTGTTTTCATTGCTTTCTCCTCCTCTGTCGGTCTGTTTTTCAGGTAGTGCTGGTAGGTTCAACCATAAATGAAAGAGATCAGATGCTGTTCATCAGCACAGACGAAGGTTCCTCCTTCCAGCGACAGTCCATCTTCTTCAACCCGGACACGCTCATCTTCCACCCAAAGGAAGAAGACAAGCTCCTGGCCTACTGTAAAGATGGCAGGGTGGGTATCACAGTGCCGCAGAAACATCAAAAATAATTAGCAGCCTCTGGAGCTGAAAGAATTAGCAACAAGACAACAGTGATGCATTAAATCTAAATTTTTCACACGCACCAGCAGAACAGGAACCAAAGAAAAGAAAACCGTGCATTTACTATACATTAATACAACTATAGGGAAAATCTTTAAATGCATGGAAAATAAACTGAACAGGGGCCATATGTAGTATCAAATATACACACACTAAGACACTCTTTGATTTTACATTTCATAGACATTTTGCAATCTCACTTGGTTTTCTATAATGTTTTTCTGAAAAGAGAAAAAAAAAAAAAAAGGTTGAGTCAATGTTCCAGATGTCTGCTCTGACTGCTGCGCGAGGCTTCTGTGAGAGTGTGTGCTTTGGGGCGGCGGCGGAGGAGCTCACGGCAGCACCCGCTGCTCGTTCACGACAGTGCAGAACGTACATGCTCTAACGTCAGAAAAGTCTCCAACAACACCAGGACAAGTCGCTAGATTTGTCACTAGTGGCTTTTGACAAAAAAAGTCGCCAAGAGGGTTTGGAAAATCGCCAGATTTAGCGAGAAAGTCGCCAAGTTGGCAACACTAGCACCGGCTAAATGTGTTCCCAGAGCAACATTGGACGTAACAATGGTTCCTATCACATATTAAACCAAACAAAAATCCATCTTCATAAAACAAGTTGTACAAATAATAATATATAAACAAGCATATTAAAGCTACTGCAGATGTACAAACAAAAGCAGTTGACTTACCAGAGCTGCTGTTCACTATTTAAAGACAAAGTCCATCCTCCTTTCTTTGTTAATAAAGAGTTTAATCTCACGGTTGTTCAGTACATCCGTGCGTTTTAGTTCCAGTAAGAAGTCCTTCTGGATTCATGGACACCAGTGAAGACAGTCGAGCTTCCCCAGTTGTATTTCTTGAATACGTTTTAATGAGTTTGAGGGCTGAAAATGTCCGCTCGACAGAGGCAGCAGATATTGGGATTGTCACCGCCCAACATGTCAGGCAAACCCACTGACCAATCACGTATGGCTAGGCCAGCTAGCAGGCTCTGGCACGTCAAAGAATATGCCCAACATGTCAAACTAAAGATCTGATTGGTTGAAGACTATGACAATCAACAATATCGTCCCCATTCACTTAAACTGCAAAGGGATTCACTTGTAAGTCTCCAGGCCTTGGGCCTCTCTTCTTACCTAGAGACAGGGGTGAAATCTGATTGGATAAAAGCTCTACTTAAAACAAGCTGCACTGGAAGCAGAGCAACTGAGGAAGACAGTAGCTGTGCAATGAGAAAGTAAGATAATGGGGAAAAAAATGACAATACATGTCGTGTATTTAAGAAAAATGATTAAATTATAAAATAGCTATAACTTTGTGATTCTGTTTAGGACAGCAGAGAAGGCCCTGATGGCCCACCACTGCAGGAATGAGCCCGAAGTAAACTTTGAATATCATTTCAAGCATTTTCTATGCAAAATGAACTCTGAACTAAAAAAAGGGTGGAGGGGACAGAGTTTTGCCAGCAGTATGGTCTGGAACAGCATAGTCGTAGAAAGGATCAGTGAGGAGGGAGTGTTAGGTTCGAGGACCTCTCGAAACTGGGAGAACCGCACGTGGTCCAGCCGTGCAAAAAAGTCAGCCGGCTCCAATTATAAATCAAAAGTATTTAATACCACAGAAGCTAAAACAATTGCAAAGTGAAGTACACTATTTACAGTATCTATAGATATATTTACAGCATCGATATAGAAATATGATCCACGGAAAAGAGGCCATACACATCACAGCCAGGAAGCTTGTTACCTTGCTGGATGAAATGAGATGAACTAAAAGAATTCCTCTGTATCTCCTTACATAGTTCGTAAAAGTTCACAAAATGTCCGTCTTTGTTTCTATTGGTTTAAATCCAGCTAGCTCCTCCTTCTCGCATCAGTCAGCTGGAGGACCCTCGGAGCGGGTGTGATGTTCCTTCTGCGTGTCCCAGTAATGCCGGTCTAAAAATCCCTGTCTGACCCTTGGCTATTCTTCACAGTTTAATACATTCAATGACTGTCTTTTATGGCTTAACACTTCTATGGTAAACATACTGTAAACATACTATACATTCGATAAGAATTTGCAACTTTGGCAAAGACTTTGACAAGCATATTTGGTAAGTACTTGCTAACATTTTACTGTCCACCTCTAAGGGTGCTATAAATCCTACTAAGAAACACTTCTAATTATAAATCCTAAAACACACTTCTAAACCTAAATTTCCTACAGGAGTCATAATTAAATGAACCTCCTTGAGGTGAGAGTGGGCTGTGATTTGTGTGTGGCCAATTGGAAGCTGGTTACAGCTGGGTCGTATGACTTCCGTGTCATGCATGAACTAACGCGATACTTTTTGGAGGTAAAGCCATAAGAGTGAACCTGAATTGTAGGTTCTAAACTGTCATTGCACCCGAAAACTGTGTAAGCCTACAAATTGAGCGTAGTGTTAGCTCTGGCAGCCCACAAAGTCAAAATGCTGGGCTTTCCATGTATGCATGTGCAGAGAGCTCTCGGAACAGAGCCATATTGTAAGGATTACAGATACTAGAACCCACAAGCACAACTCGGAGACAAGATTTAGGTATAGATTTCTTTACTTGGTAAAGGCAGGCTCAACACCAGGAGGTCAGTCCAAAAGGCAAACAAATCCAACAAGGGGCAGGCAAAAATCCAAGGTCGAGAAAACAGGCAGACAGGGTCGGAACAGGCAGATCAGAATAGTACGAGATATATATAACACTGGAGAGCTTGGCAGAGACACACAAGACAATCTGGCAGGGAACAAGTGCAAGTGAGGGGACCTAAATAGTGAGGGCTAATGAGGGAATGGGCTGCAGGTGAGATGGGTGTGGAGGACCAGGTGAGGGGAATGAGAGATGATCGGGTGTGAATGGTAGGATCTGAAATGACAGGAGAGTTAGTAAAATAAGCAGACAGGATGAAAACAAACTAATATGAAGGGGAATTTGTGACACATATTGCCAAACATAGATCACTGCAAATAAAGTCAAGGATTTTCCTGACCACTGTAGAGTGGTAGAGCGGGTCATACTTCAATCAGAAGATTGAGCAGGCTGTGCCTGCGGTGAATGGTAAAAATAATCCTGATGGGCAAGTTTCACCTTGCATGGTAGCCCCTGACATTACTGTCATGTAGGTGAATGACATGTAGTGTTAGAGCTCAGAGTGTTTGGAAGACTAGAAAAGTGCTATCCAAGAACAAGTCCATTGTCCACTTTGATGTTCACAATGGACAGTTTTAGGTAAAGATATTATTGTTAACCTTTTTTTCTGGGGATAACCCGTTCGGAACCCATTTACCTTTAAATACCCCCCCAAAAATTGTTTAATGGTCCATTTCATCTCAATTGGATGGAGAATCTGAAATAGTCTTGGAAAACTTTTTTTTTTTTATTAAACACGAGTTAATATATTTTCCATGAATGGTTAACTCATACCAATGTAGAAAGTGAGACATAACAAAATGGTATACAGTTATTTTGTATGAGCCTCGTCGTCACTACTCAGAATATCCTCAAGGACCTACAGAAAACTGGATGTTCAAGACCTCTTGAGTTGAATATAAGTGGAAGCTGGTCCATCGAGAGAGGAGTTTGCCACCTCTATTTTTGAGAGGCAAGTAGATCAACATGTAAAAATGAATAGTTGGTGGAATTAAACCATTATCAAATCTCAGTATCAATTTATAAAATATTTCTCTTTGGAAAAAATCCATTATTGAAATTCCAATAAAATGGTACAACAGAGACACCTGCAGGACTGACAAGAGAGTGGTGGTGGGGGGCAGGTGCAGACAGGCTCCTGCTGTCCTCCCTTGGGACAGAACCTCTATCAATTTAATGTAATCAATGTTTTTCATGCAAATCTGTGATTGGCAAAAACATGTAAATGACCAAGGATCAGAATAAAATATTGATATTGCGTTGGTCCAATGATAATTTCCAAATGTCGTCAGTTCTCAATCACCTCATTGTATGTAATGAACTGGCAGTCAAGCAATACTGTACATCTTACAGTAGCAGATTATAAAATAAATCATAATGTGCAAATTGGGAGCTTTTAAACTTCTCACCAAAAAAAAAGAGAAAACATTTTTAATTAGGCTTTTCTAACAGAGTCTAACTTTTCTTTATTCAGATTTAAGTAGACCTTTTTTTATTGAGCAGTAGCTAGCTACTTGTGTTATTCAATGCAACCTCTAGCTTGTTGCAGCAGCCCTGAAGGACCAGTGCATCAGTTCTCCACTCAGCTGAGCAAGTTTTGCTGCAGCGGCAGAACGAAGTGGATGGAGTGCTCTGCTGGCAAAGCCTCGGGCCTCACTGTCAGTGGCCCAACGTGCTGCCGCACTTCTGACTGGGACTGAATCCCAGGGAAAGGAATCATAGGCAGCAGTTTTCTGAAAGGTTTCCATTGACACATTACTGTCACGGGGTGTGGTAGAGAACTCAAACGCAGAGTAGCGTGAAGCAGGTGTTTATTAAACACAAATAGGAATCGCTACCACAACACAACAGGGAGTCCAAGCACAAGACAAGAGACGAGGGGGGAAATCCAGCAGGAACGAGACGAGACAAGGCAGGCAGACGGGGAAACGGGGAAACCGGGAACAGGACAAGACAAACAGGCGGGTAGAACACAATGATCCGGCAGTGAGTGACTGAGATGCAGGGGTTTAAATAGAGGCTAGAACAGGTGAGGAGAGTTGTGCTGATGAGGGAGTGCTTGATTAGTGATCAGGGTTAGGTGAAGGGAGTTTGGCTGACAGGTAGAGTGAGGAGCTACAGAAAGAGACACACAGAACACAAAGCCTGATCGTGACAATTACAAACAATACTAATTCCCATCCACAGCCTGCAGTGATTGTTTTCAAAAAATCTTGTTAGCCATTGTTTAACTGCTTAATGTTTTGCTGAACA